TGCTGGTCTCTCTACGTTACCCTGTTGGTCTGTCTATTAGTCTGCCACTCTCTCTGTTAACATGTTGGTCTGTCTATTAGTCTGCTGGTCTCTACGTTAACCTGTTGGTCTGTCTATTAGTCTGCTAGTCTCTCTACGTTACCCTGTTGGTCTGTCTATTAGTCTGCTAGTCTCTCTACGTTACCCTGTTGGTCTGTCTATTAGTCTGCTGGTCTCTACGTTAACCTGTTGGTCTGTCTATTAGTCTGCTAGTCTCTCTACGTTACCCTGTTGGTCTTTCTATCAGTCTGCTAGTCTCTCTACGTTACCCTGTTGGTATGTCTATTAGTCTGTTGGTCTCTCTACGTTAACCTGTTGGTTTGTCTATTAGTCTGCTGGTATCTACGTTAACCTGTTGGTCTGTCTATTAGTCTGCTGGTATCTACGTTAACCTGTTGGTCTGTCTATTAGTCTGCTGGTATCTACGTTAACCTGTTGGTGTGTCTATTAGTCTGCTGGTCTCTACGTTAACCTGTTGGTCTGTCTATTTGTCTGCTGGTCTCTACGTTAACCTGTTGGTCTGTCTATTAGTCTGCTGGTCTCTACGTTAACCTGTTGGTCTGTCTATTAGTCTGCTGGTCTCTACGTTAACCTGTTGGTCTGTCTATTAGTCTGCTGGTCTCTACGTTAACCTGTTGGTCTGTCTATTAGTCTGCTGGTCTCTACGTTAACCTGTTGGTCTGTCTATTAGTCTGCTGGTCTCTACGTTAACCTGTTGGTCTGTCTATTAGTCTGCTGGTCTCTACGTTAACCTTTTGGTCTGTCTATTTATCTGCTGGTCTCTACGTTAACCTGTTGGTCTGTTTATTACTGCGTGATTCTGTCTACGGCTATTGCTGATCTGTTTATTCATGTGTTAGTTGTCAGCTTGTTTAGACTGGTCCCATAGGGGCTGGATCTGTTAGTAAGATCATTGTGTCAGTCTGTCGCACATTGAGTCAGTCTATCTGACACTGTGTCAGTCTGTCGCACATTGAGTCAGTCTATCTGACACTGTGCCTGTCGCACATTGAGTCAGTCTATCTGACACTGAGTCAGCCTGTCTCACCTTGTGTCAGTCTGTCCGATAATGTGCCATTCTGTACGCTTGAATGAGACGGAGTGAGTCTGTCTGATGGTGTGTCAGTACATTAAGTCAGTCGTTGAGTCAGTCTAGCAGTATGTCTGCTTATCTGACAGCAACAGTTACCTTCGTGGAACTCCCAGAATGCAGTGGGCTGCTGTGAGAACCTTGTCCCTGGACACCAGACTTCCGCCACAAACAAAGTACCAGGTCCCGTTGAACAGGAGCTAGCAGGAGACACAGACAGACAGGTCAATGCTGCTTACACGTACACGGTTGAGCACAGCCGTACCACTAACATCAAACTGTTGTCTTTTACATCTTCTTGTTGAGTCGCAGATGGTTCATAGACCCATGGAATTCTCTCTTGCAGTGATCCCAATCCTAGAGACCTCTTGTAGCTGGTTTGTTCCTTGATTGATCTCCGTCTCTCTTTCTATCCTGCTCTCTCTCTCTCTCTCTCTCTCTCTCTCTCTCTCTCTCTCTCTTGTGTGTGTGTGTGTGTGTGTGTGTATGTATGTGTGTGTGTGTGTTTGTGAGTGTTTTACTACCTCTTCTAATTTTTTTGCCGGTGAATTTCACAGGAAATTTTTTCCTTTGAGATATCTAGATAAATGTCTGATGATACATTTCAATATGAACAGCCTCTACATGTAAAACTCACTTTCAGTTGTTGGAAAACCATGAAAACTTAGACGCGTGATAGGAACAGTCAGACATGAAACCTAGACAGGGGAATGTGAACAGTCAGACATGAAACCTAGATAGGGGATGTGAACAGTCAGACATAAAACCTAGATAGGGGATGGGAACAGTCAGACATGAAACCTATCTGGTAATCTGGTAATCTGGTAATCCTAGTTTCAGCTTCATAGCAAACGGGTCACCCCACAGATGCTCCGCTCCTGTGCCAACGAAAAACAAACGCAGCTCACAGTGTCACGCCATGCACTCAACTCAGAAGCTGGGCGACGAAACTACATCCTTCCAGTCTACAAATGGAGCAAAAATGCAACGGCCACCGTCTGGCAAAAAAAAAAAACCATTTGCTACGGCTTTAAAAAAAATAATATTAAATAAAAAAAATGTGGCCGTGCCTAGCGTCCATTTTGACCGGAAGAATTATATGAGGGTTAATAAACGGTCACCCCAGCAGTACCCTCATTATTAGCTGGGGAAGGGACTTAGGACGTTACATCCACCAGCAGGCATCGCCCCTATAACGACCTGCCTGCCATCGTTAACGAATGTTCACCCAACAGCCATGCAGTTCTTTGGCACGAAGGAGACACCTTGAACTTGGGTTTCGTACTGCCGACTCCCTACTAAGATGTTATTTTATGTTTTCTTATCACAATTAATGTCACTGCACATTGGGCATACCCATGCGTGCTCAGTTCTCCGAAGCAGCAGCCACTCCAAAGTACTTCTACTAATTGTCCCCATGAGAAGCTGGTTATATTGTCTCCTCACTCGGCCTCGAAGACGGCAAAGACGTGCATCACCATGCTTAACTCCCATGTCACGCAATCGTGTTAGTGTCAGGGATTCCTCATTCTCCACTAGCCCAGTTCGTACAGCGTTGACTATACCTGCTCTGTCCATACTTTTTCCCGCAATCATTAGTGCAGTGCTTGCCAGTTGGTCTGCTCGCTCATTTCCCTTCACGCCCGCATGACCCGGTGTGTAGATCCAGGTTACGGAGGTTAAGTGAGATTTCCGAATGCTTTCTATTCACTCTGAGTGCATACTGCCTGTTGCTATCTTCTGAAGCATATTCATTGAGCCTGAGACAATTACTGCCTGTGTGGCGGTTTGCTCGGATACCCATGCTAAAGCTCTAGAAGCAGCGGCTATTTCCATTGTCATGCTTGACGTGGTTGTCTGGTAAGCACCGCTGTCCTCATGTATTGTTTTCCCCCTTCTTTGCGCTGTGCATGCCCATGCTGACCTTGATCCGCGCTTCACGGATCCATCTGTGTAGATTATGGTATCTTCTGAGTCTGAATGCTGATCTATCAGTTCCCTTACTTCTGTGTCTACGGCCGCAGGAATTTGATCCCTGCAGTACCTTCCGAGTGCGATGACAACCTTAGAGATGCCATGCATGTCTACTGGTGTATACGTCCATTCTTTTCCGTGGCTGATCACGTCTAGGTCACATACCTGCTGGATTAAATCCTCAGCCTTTGCCATCCAAGAGCGGCCTCTTTTGAGACGCGTTCCTTTTGTGTCGTGAATAGCTTTGTGTAATGGGTGGTTAACGTCTGCCGATACCCTCATGTAAGCCTTGACCTGTGCCACTTTGTATCTGCTAGTCATAGTCGGCAGACCCAGGATATAACGCATGGCGTTGCAGAAGGTGTCTTTTGTGCAGCCGAGTATGAGTCTCATGGCCTCATTCTGTACTCGGTCCAGTCTTTCTAGCTGGGTTTTGCTGACAGTGAGGAGGCCAAGACCATAGTCAATGACGCTAAGCACAAGCCCTTGAAGGAGAAAGAAAAGTAGACGTTGTTCAATATCAGCTGCTGCTAGCACCTTGAGTGCTGTCAACCCTTTCCTGGCTAGACAGGGCATGTGAACAGTCAGACATAAAACCTAGACAGGGGATGTGAACAGTCAGACATGAAACCTAGACAGGGGAATGTGAACAGTCAGACATAAAACCTAGATAGGGGATGGGAACAGTCAGACATGAAACCTAGAGAGGGCATGTGAACAGTCAGACATGAAACCTAGACAGGGGATGTGAACAGTCAGACATGAAACCTAGACAGGGGATGTGAACAGTCAGACATGAAACCTAGACAGGGCATGTGAACAGTCAGACATAAAACCTAGACAGGGGAATGTGAACAGTCAGACATGAAATCTAGACAGGGGATGTGAACAGTCAGACATGAAACCAAGACAGGGGAATGTGAACAGTCAGACATGAAACCTAGACAGGGGAATGTGAACAGTCAGACATGAAACCAAGACAGGGCATGTGAACAGTCAGAAGTGAAAACCCAAATAGACAACCGAGAAGCAAGAGGCTGGTGAATGGGTCTGTGGTCATTTCAAGGCACACAGGTCCTGCTACATGGAGTCTGGCTAGAGAACAAGATGCATACACATGTCGTATTTGTAACAGACTCTGAAACCATGCTGTAAAAGGTGAAGACAGGGATGCTTCGAGCAGAGTCGCAAGCTTTACTGGAAAGGTCACGTGTAGTGAGCACACTTTGGATCTTTTCTCCAGTCGATGCCAGCGTGATGGATAATGAACAAGCAGACAGATTGGCTGGATCTGCACCACTGGGTAAGGAATTGATACATGACAAGGCAGAAGTTGTCAAGGCCACGGAATCAGTAAAGACAGAATATTATTAAACCCGGAGAGAATGAGGCACCTGGGTGTAACCAGAGGGTCTGGCCGGCTGACAACATTCAGGGAAAAGGCAACACAGATATTTACCTAGATTTTGACCAGTGCCATCAGTATTGGAACTCTGCGCTGGCTGCTGAAGATGAAGACGGAGCATGCATGGGAATACCCCGAGTGTTGTGGTGTTAATTCTTGACTCAACTCAACTCGCAGAGTCTGTGAACATGTTTTCCAACGTTGACAACCTCCCATATTTGTGTGCATGGCTTCCATTGGTTGGCAGTGCCTAGTCTCATTTATTCTCTAGCCTGCTGTGTTCCGGCTGTCACAGCACAGACTGGATTCTATGACGATCGCAGGAAGTGTATGAGACTGACTAGATGTGGACAAAATGTGTACTCTGTGAAGCGTTTGGTTTCGTAAGGTTTCCTCCTATTAATGAATGGGCCCTAAAGCCGGATCTTATGGGCCCTATCTGGGACTGTCGTCACAGGCCCTCGACCTGCGTCATACTTGACATATATTTACCTGCACGGAAGCCACGTAGGGGAAGTCCCTGATGTCTGCCACAGGCTGTTCATCTGACGTTTCCTGCGTGACATTTGTGACCAATGGTTGTCTGGTGGTTGTCCTTGGTGCATGGCCAGGCCGTCCGTTGGCTGGTGACGTCAGACCAGGGCGGCCATTGGTTGACTGGGCGGTCACTGCAACAGGGGCAGTGAATATGAGGTTAGTGGCTCTGTTGTAGTGCCCTTACTCCTTATGAGATGTCTCCCAACACAGGAGAAGTTGATAATGTGTGAGAAGACAAGGAGTGTCCTAGTGTGACGTCAGTGATGTGTGAGAAGACAATGAGTGTCCTAGTGTGACGTCAGTGCTGTGAGAAGACAAGGAGTGTCCTAGCGTGACGTCAGTGCTGTGTGAGAAGACAAGGAGTGTCCTAGTGTGACGTCAGTGCTGTGTGAGAAGACAAGGAGTGTCCTAGTGTGACGTCATTGCTGTGTGAGAAGACAAGGAGTGTCCTAGTGTGACGTCAGTGCTGTGTGAGAAGACAAGGAGTCCTAGTGTGACGTCAATGCTGTGTGAGAAGACAAGGAGTGTCCTAGTGTGACGTCAGTGCTGTGTGAGAAGACAAGGAGTGTCCTAGTGTGACGTCAGTGCTGTGTGAGAAGACAAGGAGTGTCCTAGTGTGACGTCAGTGCTGTGTGAGAAGACAAGGAGTGTCCTAGTGTGACGTCAATGCTGTGTGAGAAGACAAGCAGTGTCCTAGTGTGACGTTAATTCTGTGTGGGAAGACAATGAGTGTCCTAGTGTGACGTCAGTGCTGTGTGAGAAGACAAGGAGTGTCCTAGTGTGACGTCAGTGCTGTGTGAGAAGACAATGAGTGTCCTAGTGTGACTCCAGTGCTGTGTGAGAAGACAAGGAATATACACCTACCTACCCACACAGACACGCACTTTCCACACACATTCATGTATACAGATATACACATGCACACACAGACACACCCATAGAAACAAATGCAGACACACACACACACACAAACAGACATACGCGCACAGACCCTATCACACACACAGATACATATACACAATGACACACACATACGACACACATACAAACCCGTATACACACACGCAGACTCACACACGCGGACACACACACACATGCACAAACACACACAGAAACAAATACACACAGACACTCGGAGACACACAAACACACACACAAACGCTGATGCTCACGCAGACACACACACACACAGACACAACCACAGAAGCATACGCAGACATTCATACACACAGGCATTCACACAGACACACAGACACAGACACAAAAACGCAGACATGTGTTTTGCAGATAATTTGTTTTCTATACCGGCTGGATACATCATTTGTTTACTTAGTTAGTTAGTTAGTCTTTCCTCTTGTGTCGAGTGCGGCACATAGGGCAGAGGTCGTGACTCTCCATGCACGGCGGTCCGTTGCAATCCGTTGTAGGTCTTGGATGTTTGAGTGGCCCATGAGCGAGCCTTCCCTGATGATAGTTCTACGTAGGGTTTCCCTTGGTCTTCCACGAGATCTTTTCCCCTGTGGTGTCCAAATGAGGGCTTGGTAAGGAAGTCTTGATTTATCCATTCTAAGGACGTGGCCGACATAGTTCCAGCGGCGTTTTCGTATAAAATTAGACACATACTCTTGCCTGGATTCTTGCCTTATTTGTGTATTGGTTCGGAAATCATCGTGCAGTTAGAGTCAGAAATCTGATTCTATAACAATTGGTGGTTTTGCGATGACAGCTTGTCGGACCGTCGATCAACCGATATGCGCCGAGCTAGAGAGAAACACGTCCCGCCATCTTGACACAAACCGGAAACCCATATATTTGTTTACTTATTGACGACTAAACATCGAGATTTTGGTTACTGTACAGTCTTATTAGCTTATTTCTAGACTTTTGAGTACAGTGATATTTGCTTATTTTAGACTTCTAAGTACAGTGATATTTGCTTATTTCTAGACTTCTAAGTACAGTGATATTTGCTTATTTCTAGTCTTGTGAGTACAGTGATAGTTGCCTATTTCTAGATTAAAGAGTTACAGTGATGTTTGCTTATTTATTTTGTTGTTGTTATCGACCCAGCGCCGCATAAGCTTTCGCCCTCTGGCCCAATGCCATGTAGTGGAATGTTCGTGTTTTCACAAGCTGTTCTTTTCCTCTGTACAAGATGTTCCACCTGTCTAGTTTCGGAGGGAATAGCATTATTCTCGTCTTGTTGAGTGTTTGGCACTCAGAGAGATGTTGGTCAACAGTTTTGCAGGGGTAGTTACAGAACATTAGTTGAAGTAAACATCTGGAGATCATGCATTTTTCCTGTGGCGTCTGAGGGCTGTGAATGCTAGACTCTGACTCAATCAGTGAAGAAACATGATTAGTCCTCTTCTACATTGAAATGTTACAGAAAACCATTTTCAGAATACCATGGACCAGGAGCAGAAAAAACACTGAGATTCTACACATCCAGGAGAACTGGCTCATAAACAGCGTCCTGTCTCCACAGTTGAAGTATTTTGCCCACATCAAACGGAAAGACCGTGACAGGGGGTACATTTTGTGGAGAGGCTTGGAAAGACCGTGGTGCAGGGTACAGTTTGTGGAGAGGCTTGGAAAGACCGTGGTGCAGGGTACAGTTTGTGGAGAGGCTTGGAAAGACCGTGGTGCAGGGTACAGTTTGTGGAGAGGCTTGGAAAGACCGTGGTGCAGGGTACAGTTTGTGGAGAGGCTTGGAAAGACCGTGGTGCAGGGTACAGTTTTTGGAGAGGCTTGGAAAGACCGTGGTGCAGGGTACAGTTTGTGGAGAGGCTTGGAAAGACCGTGGTGCAGGGTACAGTTTGTGGAGAGGCTTGGAAAGACCGTGGTGCAGGGTACAGTTTTTGGAGAGGCTTGGAAAGACCGTGGTGCAGGGTACAGTTTGTGGAGAGGCTTGGAAAGACCGTGACGGGGGGTACAGTTTGTGGAAAGCGAGGCAGGGGTCGACCTCAGCGAAACTGGATCCAGGACACTAAAGTTTCATTGGCATCAAAAGCACATGGAGCTGGAGAGCTGGCAAAGGAAATGAAAATTTCAGGCGTGCCATGAAGAGTGCGACGTTCTGTAAAGGACTTGCTAAGAGGGGAGGTCAATAAGTAAGTCATAAATAGTCATGGGATGGCAGGGACATGAAGCTGGTGGTTTCTGAAGGTCTCATTAGGTGACGACAACATCGAACTTTATGTCTCTGATTGTTAGGTGGCGCTAGCTGTTGCATGCGCATACGCAGGACAGAAACCAAATAGCGACTGTACTTATGGATGTGTACCCTCATAAAGACATGCTTCCAATTTATGCTGACAAATCTCTATTCTGTAAAGCGGTGCATAGCTGGTTATAAAAGTATTTCGTCCTGTGGTCGTCCTGTTGGGACTGCAACAGACGCATCCGTGCAGCGGGTGGAGGAGATAATTAGTGATGACAGGCGAGTAACTGCTGACCCTGTAATAGCTGCGATAGGGTGTCCACTGAAAACCCACCTCTGTGGGAGACATTTCGCAAATGACACAGAAGTTGAATTTGAAGTAAAAATGTGGTTTAGAAAACAGAGCACGCAGCTCTATGCAGCAGGTTTGGGAGGACTGATAAAACGATGGGACCAATGCATCAATGTTGGTGGAAATTACTTTGAGAAATAAAAGGATTTTATTTGTAAAAAAATAAACGGTTTTCAAGTTGTTAACGTACCCTTGTAAAAGATGATGAGTTACATAGCTGGTATTCTGGGTAGTGTTGTGGCTGTATTCTGTTTACATGTCACTGAGTGGAATATGTTTTGTTCTGAGTCTGAATGTGGTGGCCTGGTCTCTCCTTGTTAGATTATAAATGTTGTCGTTAGGATCAGGGCCAGCCATATGTCTAAAAACCTGTTTTCCTGTATCTCCAATGGCCAATCTGTTCTGCCAAGTCTTTTTGTTTATTGCTCTTATAAGTGTTTTTGTTGTCTGTAGAGTTGTGGCTGTGGGTGGTGGTTGTTCTTGTGTTGCTCCTTTCTTTGCCAGTCTGTCAGCTCTGTCATTACCTGGTGTGCTGGGGTGGCCTAGAATTTACATCATCACTATTCTGATGTTGTATGAGGTAATGAGCTGATCATCATCCAGAATTATCTTGGCTATGTCAGTTCTGCAACGTTCGCTGGCTCCCAGAGCTTGTAGAGCGGACAGTGAATCGGTGAAGATTACAATATTTTGGGCCTTTGAGAGATTTTTTTTTATAGTATCCAGAAACAATGAGTTGTAAAACATTTTGGCTCGGTACTATGGACATCGCAACCCTTCAGCCTTGATTTTCATGATAGATACTGTAAACCTGGGAGAAATGTGGCTTTTCTGTTTACCCCGGGGCGTGAACCCGACTTTGAGGGATAAACATTCATTGCAGTCTTTATGTAGTATACTGCTGTTTCCTGAGCAATTATTTGGGCTTCATAATTTGAACAGAATTCCCTGTATGCATCATACATCTCTTCAACATACCCATCAGGATAACCTATGTAGACTCCATAATCTGCTTTAATGTTAGCTTTGAATGCAGTTCTATTAGTATAAACATGTGTCCATTCTTCGGTGTAGGAATCATGGTCTTTAACGATAAGTTCATAAGAGCGATTGGATCGGACTGTTTGGTTTCTTCGTCTATCAATTTCATCCAGACTTCTGGAGCTTTAAAGCGAGCATGTGGTGGTAGGTTTCTTGCAACATTCTGAATGCCTTAACGTCTTTCTTGGAGATGGTATCTGTCCTGTATTTCATGTACACAGTGTAAAACCGATTTGTTCTTTATTCTTTGTTTGTATTCCACGCTTTCTACAAGGTGTCTGTTAGGGTGATTACGAGTCATTCTAATGCATCTTTTATAAATGTCTAAAGCGGCTTTTTCTCTACGTAACCTGAGGGGTTCCACATTTGTATGGATTTCACATGCAACGGTAAGTAAAATCAAGTTGAAACTTTTAAGATATATAAAATCTTATAATCACAGAAACCAATATAATGTAGGTTATCTCAGGAATAAAGAAGTTAAGGAACAATTTTCAGTAACAGTCTCTAAAAAGTACCAGGTGTTGCAGCAGTTAGCACTAAAGTCTGCTGGGATCAGATCAACGGAATCTGGA